GCGAGTCCACGCAACTCAATAATATTACAATTTGAATCCAAGAGTCGAGTTTTTGAAAATTACCCTCATGCGATTCTTTTTAAGAGGACTACCATTGTACACTGGATAGAAGGAAAGATTTCGAGTGTTGTCTTGGGATTCATTATCCGTTTCATATTATGTGGCAAGCTTGGCATTTTCCAAGAATTGAATTATCATCATCAGAATGGTGGTTCATAACACGTTTCATGTAATTTTGCTCAAAATAACTACTTCTTCAAACAATTATAGGAAAAAATATTCCAACATTTGGAGTTAGGTGAATATGCAAAAATTAATTTCCTTTTAACAGAATGAGATTTTATGGACATTTGGTATTTTTCCCAGAAAAAAGAATGTCAACATAAAAATCAAGAACCGATTCTAATTTTTATAAAGTCCATGGTCAGGATCATAATGTGGTAAAACTATTTTATAATCAATATGTAGCTAAATTATCTTTACGAGGAACTCAAAAAAAAAAAAAAAATCGCTTATGAGGTTATATTGGTGAAAGGATGGAAATACTCTACATATTCAAGTAGTAATATCGACGACGTGCGTAGTAGAACCTCTGAGATTCTATTTTGGACCCTTTAAATGAAGCAAGTTTACTGGGGGGCAGAAAATAAGATTTTGCCTTCGTCGGGGTTGGAGGAGAAGATAGACTTCTTCACTTGTAAATGACTATATGGGACCTGCTGGCAAAATTCTCATATGTGTTTACTGAGATGGTTTTCCTGTGTACCATGGCAAATTGATAAAATTGGGAACTTTGTTCTTTCTGGCAGTCTTTTTGACAGGGAATTAAAAACTGAAAATAGAAAGCGACAAATAAGCATTTTCTATAAACCATTATTTTTATCTAAATTTCTTGAGAACTCTGGTTCTGGGTATATGACTTTGCTTAGCTGAGTTGAACTGATTTTTTGAGAACTGGATTTAGTTTAGTCTATTTCTGGGATGTGTGTGTGTGTGCGCACATATTTGCAAATCAACATCACAGAAAATTTATATTGCTAGCCCGATGTGAAGAAATGAAATGAGTGAGGTGAAGTTGTACAGAAGTTATATCAGAACACCACATTAGAATGAAACTATTGCTAAAGCTGTTCTTAACCAGGTTTTGCAATGTTTTTCGTGCTTGGATTCTATTAGTATCTCCAGAGTATTCAGTCTGCTTTAATGTCCGACATCCAATTTAACATTATAGTCCTTATCAGTCATAAATTATTGCTATTTATGTACGAGGCAGTACTTCTATTGGATCTTGTACTGCCGAAATATTTCTCAATTATATTTTCCTACTTCTATGTGCATGTATTAAAATCGAATTACTGGGCTGCTAATTATCCATCTTTTATCATATTCTGGTGCAGATTATCATTTCTTACTTTTGCCTTGTTGCAGGCACAAAGTAGTGATAGTTGAAGGTAATTATTTGTTTTTGGACGAGGAGGTCTGGAAAGATATCTCATCAATTTTTGATGAGAAATGGTAATACTTACCATTCTAGTTTACTTTTCATAGTCTTGAAAAATATGAGAACAAATCCGCTGATCCTTGAAATGCTGTTTGGTGTCCCTCACTTGTGATGGTATACCCTTTTTCGCTTGAAATTCTTGACATTTGTGTATTATTGGTTAATGCTATGATATTGATACCTCTCATGGTAAGGATCCAAATTCTAGAAAGAACAAAATACATGCGTTGCTTACAATTACACCCGTAGCAATGTTCTGGTAATACTTTGTAGTGTCTGACTGATTGTTAACCCCTTCTATTAGGGGCAGAGCTCCCGTTTCAAACACCTGTCTCCCTAGTGGCACAAATTGAAGTATATTCCACGATATTTGTACCTTTAATTATGTTGATTTGTTGGATATAATTCTGAAATAATAAGAAATTACTTACTGTACTATACAATTTGATGGCAAGGTTCATTGATCTTGACATTGAGAAATCAATGCAACGGGTCTTAAGAAGGCATATATCGACAGGTTTACTCTAAGTTTTGGTCCTTTTATCTCAGTGGATATGAAGAAATATTATTTAAGAATATAGACTAATTTCATCCATTTGCATGCCGTTGTAGGAAAGCCTCCTGACGTTGCTAAATGGCGGGTAAGCTTTGACCTTGATTTCTTGATCATTTATCTGAAGGTTTTTGAATATTTTTAATATTAATTGTTCTTGTAACTTTAATTCATTATGCAGATAGATTACAACGACAGGCCTAATGCTGAGCTCATAATGAAGTCAAAGAAAAATGCAGATCTGGTTATCAAGTCCGTTGACTTCTCAAGGTGAATCTCTCTTCCCATTACTAGAATAGGAAAATAGAATCGTCAAGTTCCCTTCTTTCTCGCACGGAAGACTGTTCACTCCTTGTCCACTGTATTTTTCATGAATAAATATGCGAAATCTCGATGTTCTGTCAGCTGTTTTGTGTACTGATGAAATTGAATAAAAGAAAGCAGTCAACATTTCGCTTGAAATTATTTTTACTTGGTCAAAAGAGATTCTTACAGCTGCTTCGCATGTAGTTTTTTTGCCTTGTAATCTAGTGATTATCTTTTAATCAACTTCATCGTGTTAAAACTTCCAAAAATTTCTCTATAACCTATTAGATTCTATATCTACCTGCTGTAAGATCGCAATCCCACCACTAATCTGTAATGTTCCCCTTTTCAAGAAGCAGATTTTTACTGTGCATACAAATGTTAAATTTACCCACATTACAGTGGTTGACTTGAAAATCCTCATTTTTTTCCCTTATCAATTATGAAGTTATATTTATATCAATCTTCATGCCACAAATAAATGAAAAACTACATTTTTCTTATAAGTCATATTCGTACTTTCCAGAAACTAGCTTCCGATGCTCGTGTTCCTACCCTGTGCACCTCCCAAGTTTAAGTTCGAGCTCTAGTCAAGACCCATAATTAGAAGCAAGTCAGTGCTCCAAGCTGCTCAATCACAAAGTTGGGGTGCTGAATTGATCCTCATTTGGTAAGCTCTCAATGTCTTACTTAGAATAGTTACGATGGGAGGGAAGAATAAAGCTGCAATAATATTGAACGAGTAATAATCAGTGAGTAGGAAAGCACCTTAATGTTTAAGTTCTTTTAGTAAAAGGGCAAATTACAAGAATGAATAAATTGCTACTTTACCCTTCAGTGGCCGGCATGTGTTGTACATGAAATATGATTATCTACTTCCATCATTTGTTCTTTTTCAGTTTGGCTTGCTTTGCATATGTCCTATTTCATAAAATAGAATCTTCAGAGCTAAGCATTTTATGCATCCATTAATGAAGCATGGGATGGATTACTGTTTGGATTCTGTTTATCGAACTTGCATCTTGCATTTGCTGATACACGTACGATCAATATTGTCTAATACTATATAATTCTGAACATGCCATAATGGTAATACGCACTTTGTCTATCTATGGTTTGGTTTATTTGAGGATCAAGTAAAAATTTCACTAGAGGTTAAAGGCTCCCATCCAAGTCTACTATGATGTTTGATCGTCCGAGATTTAACTTATGTCAAGTACATTAGAGATACGAAGTCTTATTGCTATTGATCTTACACGTGAATTACCATATGGTTTCAGAGTCAAAACTATGAATATTTAAATGGGCTATTATATTCACACCACAATTTTTGTTAACTACATAACATTTTAATTGTAACGGAAGTTCCCCTCGCTTTTCTCATTTTCGTAGTTATGTCTTAACTTTTTGGTTCCATTCTTATCATTAACTTTCAATTAGTTAGTGCATTTGTCTATGTACAAAATATTCTATTAACGTGCTTTGAAATGAAGAAAAAATATTTAGTCAGACTTTTTTATTTATTTTTTTCTCATTTTTATTAAGCCTTTTTATGCCTCTCCTAACAGATTTTTTGGAGAGAAATTGTCATCAAAGACAAGATGTGCTGATTAATCTAAGGTTGAAGATAAAAATGCAACGAAGTAGATTGATATCGTGGGTACCAAAATGTAGAAATATGAATCCTAATCAAATATTGCCACATCTATATAGAAATTCATATTTTTGTATCGCAGTCAACTTCGAATAAATAGATTACCTGATGGGATTTGTCGACATGAACGCGAATTGTTAAATAATAAGTCTTCCATTTTCTATTTCGACGTACATTTCATAGATTACGTTTGGATCAATGATTATGTAGATTTTAGCAAGTGCTATAGATTTGTATTTATAAATATGAAATGCATGATGTATGAGTATGACTGTTACCTTGAGACCAAAAGGAGGGTTAACCTCCAACTTCTTTTCACTATTGTGGATGCTTTGAACTTGAACAATATTATGTTGTAAGACTAGGAATCTCACTATTTAATTAACCAACCCACCAACAAAAATGGGCAGAGAAATTAAATGCTTTGTTTAGCATGCACATGACATTGCTCCTTGCTTGCACAAATTGTCTCCCCTCTCACTCGACACAATATTGAATACTATGAGAATACGGTTTATTCTACATAAAATAAAATCACGGGAAAAATAATTAGAGTCCGTTTGACAGGACTTCTGCTTCTTGTGATATAGCTTCTTTACTAGGTCAGTTTTTTCTATGAACCCTTTTTTCAAAAACAGGTTTTTAGCCTTAGAAATAATCTAACTTCTCAAAAGTCACAGAACTGCAAACTCCACATACAAATCAAGATATCAAGGAATATAAAAACACAGTTTAATAACTACACAAGTACATGATTATGGCATTATTGGTGATAAACAAACTAGACAAACAGTCTTAAGCACAATATACTTGTTTTTGTCCATAATAATGAATATTTAGAAACTTTCACACTCTTGATTATCAATAAATTACAACAAACCATAATATATAATAAAGTCATAATCCAACATTCTTCTCCTGCGTTTGTCCCTTTTGCCTTTGGACCACAGAGATCAATAGAGCGGGCTTTGCTGCAATACACTACTTTAGCTTCTGTTCTTGCATTTCTCCATGGCTCTAGGAGCTGCAACTCAAATTCTTGGTTTCACTTATTTTGTACGAAATGTATACTCACATGCAAAAATATATTCGAGCCATCGGGGTATAAATTTTTATGCTAAGGGCACGAGGGAAATTGATGCATACAATTGCAGTGATATATCAACACCACAAGAACAATAAAGTACAAGATTAAGAAAGAGAGATGTGTGACAAATCCTACAAGTTCTGTTATGTACCCACTAAGGTGACTAGAATATTGAGGGTAGAACAAAAGAATAGGTTGAGGATACTAACCGAGTCCTATTGCCTCTGTTCCTTTCATTATGCGGAGGCGCTTGCATGATCCAACAAACATCCTGTTTCATTTGCATTCAAATACATCCTTAGTACATATACTTCTATATTTGTACCCCCTTCCACCTGCTAACCAACTCATCTAAAAGCTTAAACTGTTACAGATGGATCAAATGCATTCAGTTAAATTTTGAATTCAACATGTTCCACATCAAAGCCTAACACGTGCACAACTTTTAGTTAAAGGGTGACAACGAGACTTAAACTTAGGTCAATTCGGTGGCTATGATACCATGTTAACTAACTCATCTAAAAATTTAAGCAATTAGAGAGGAACCAAATGCATTCATTCAAATCTTGTCTTGGACACCCCAAAAACCCGGAGAAGAAAGATGAGTTTTTTGTCGAGACTTACTCCCATGGGACATCCCCAACAAGCATCCAATCACCATCTTTGTCTTCATAAGTTGGAACAAAATCAGAACCATTCAAAAGATCCATAAGCTTGCTCTCATTCATGAAATCCATCACTCCTTGAGAATCACATTTACCTTCAGTATAATCAAGATCAGCACATCAATAGATGTATCTAGATCAAACAGCACAATCCCTATTATGTACCTAGACTCGACCCCCGAAAAGGGAAGTTAATCAAACTCGTAAAACTTCATCATACTAGTCCTAAAAAACGAAGAATTATACAATACGAATACTTGAACATAACTGAAATCTCTATGCATTTAATACAGATCACATACCCATGGTAAAGGAGCTGAACATTTTGCCTAAGGCACCATAAAGATCTTGGTAGCTTTTGTACATGTTCAAATCAACTTTGCGAAGGTAAGGTGCACCATCCATGCTAACCTTTACAAAGGTGGTGGCGCCACCACCTCCCTCCTCGGAGCTGCTCTTTTGAACAGCCACAATATTCTTCCGGAACGACCTAACTGGTGGCCACCCCACAACCTGTGCCCTGGATTAATAGCCATTCAGTTCATATTAAGTTTTTGCAACCACTTGGGGGCATTTTACTTATTCGAAACAAGAATTTAAGGCAGAGAGCTCAAAAAACAGCTTAGTACTTCAGAAATTTAATGAGTCCTATTTAATCCACTCGACTGGAGAGATGAACCAAAAATAATATCGTTCGACCTGGAAGTATGAAACAAATTTACAAAGTTCATTCATCTTAGTTACTGTTAAAACTTTCAAAACTAGAACATTAAGATCAATCTGAAAGATATGATTAGTTCTAATCTATTAAGCAAAATTTAAGTGAAAAAACGAGAGATTAAAATCAGTTACTTGGGAGAGGGCTTGACTGAATCATTAGAGCAAGAAATAAGATTCTTCTCTTTCTGCAAATTTTCCCCTTTCTCAGTCTCCTTCAGAGCAAGATTGAGCTTCAAATCCACAGTTTGTGTGTACCCTCTTTTACCATTTGCATTAGTATTCTTCACCAAATCTCCATTAATAATCCCTCCTCCGCCAGGTAATCCTAAACGCAGCTCAGTTTCCTCAAACCCCAACTTTTCCTTCTTGTGTTCTTCACTTATCATAGTCATTTTGGCTTCAATTTCTGTCAAAATTCGGGTGTTTTCTTTTTTCTTTTTTGGTTCTTCTTGTCAATGGTGCAGAGACTAAAGTTTATGATGACAATAATGAGAAATTAGAAAGATGGGGAAAGAGTGTGTCGGAGCAAGATGGGGTATTAATATACGGCGAGTGTGCAATTTGTGTTTATTTAATGGGAAATGTGACACGTGGATCAATCAGTGAGCTGGATATCCAATCTTGCTGGAAATGGATATTGATACTTCCCCTGGTTGCTTTTGCTTGATTATGCTTCATTCTTCATCTTTCTTCACCATATATGAACAAAGGCAAGCTGGCTCCAGAGGTGTAAAATCGAACCGTACTGTGCTGAGTAGTCGATTGTTAAGTGGCTCATGCTATGCCACTCTTAGTCCAACACAGTCCCTTTTATAAGGTCGGCACAACACGGCCTAGGCCATGTCGAATTCGTACAATCTATATTAAAAAAAAATTCGTGTGTACAAGTCCTTGTAAGCTACATATCCCTACAATTTGGTCGAGTTCTTGGGATAGGCTGAGCAAAACCAGTATCAGTTCGTGTTGTGCTTAGAACGTGCACTTCTACTTAGCCTTAAATTATTTGATATTCTGAATTGTATCATAGTACGCAAAAAATACAATTAAAATAGTTCAAAGAAGAGAGTTAATTGAAGTACATACGAGAGAATTTCTTCAATTCTTACTTTATGAAATTCAAGTTTACTTGGAGACAATGTGTATATTTTATGCACAACATTTTATGCTAAGAAGTGATATAATGGATCTAGACTGGGTTTTTTATTATCCAATTGGAATTTTTCCAAAGCTTCACTTTCTTGAGATTTGATTTGGCTTGCTTGTATTTGAAACAACTCACTTCTTTTCTTAAAAAGACAACATAGTCTCTTCACACACATGAAAGTATATATAGTAAGGGTTAGTCTACATGTACATAATTTCTTGTTACATTTTTTTATATTTCTAATATAACTCGAATTACATTTTGACCAAGAAAGATTTATAAATTTTTAGAAATCATAAACAGAAATTTCTCTCAACATCAACACGGCCAATCTTTTCATCTTAGAGAGAGAGAGAGATTTACAAAAGATTTTTTTTATTTGAAAATGATGAGTTAAAGAAAGAAAATGAGAAATATTCTTACTTTAAGGTAATATTCTTAAAATACGATTTGAAACTCTTATCACCTTTCTCGTATTATATTCGCACTCATTTCATCTTCTTATTCGTCCATGAACAAGTGGCGCACTCAAATGTTGCGTCCCAACTCCATTCCCTAGTGTATCTGCCCCCTCCCCTAGGGATGGACATATTACCCGACGGACAGACCGACCCGACTCAACTCGAGTTGATTTCGAGGGGAAGTCAATCGGTTTTTGAGTTGGGATTTCACCCAACTCGAAAAGTCGGTTTAGTGATCGGGTTGGGTCCAAACTCGACCTAACCCGACCCATGTCTAGCCCCTACTCCTTCTCCTCTACCATCCCAGAACTCCCTCCCACCCACCTCTTTGTGTGTGAACACATGCAAAGTGATACAAAATGTGTAATAACAATATACCTTTATTGAATCGCTCTAATAGAGAGAGGAGTACAATCATAATAAGTCCTCGTCAAATAATCATCTCTCGTAATTTGAGAATACTTTTACTCGAAACAACTCCATGCATTGCTCATAATTCTTAACAATTCAATTAGCACAAATTATGGTAAGTGGTAATAAGAAAATGCTATGTTTGGCATGTAAAATATTGTATTGTTTGCCTACAATTAAACTATGAAAAACTCGCACTTGTGATTTCTAATATATAGTCCCCGTAAAAAGTTGCTCTCAACATACTCAATGTCAAAACTCATTATATTCCTCGATAAAAAGAAATCTCAACTAGAGTAGATCCGAACTTTAATGTTTAAGCTTGTGAACAAGTTGAGTCCATGCATGTCCTAATTCCTTGCATTTTCTTATATTCATATCGACTAACCTTAAAATATAAGAATAATTGGTAAATAAAATCTATTTATATGCCATAGATGCCTAGAAAACTTAAAATGCATGTTAGTCTGAAAATGGATGGATTGAATGGGAACCAAAAATTAAGGGCTATGTCATGTGCTAAGATTCATTTGGGGGACCCTATGATATTAGTGGGCTGTTGGATGGATGTCAAACCTCCTCTTTTATTCCCATGTGCGCCGCTGCGTTAATACTAGTCTCTGTTGCCATGCACTTGCATGCCATGGGTATCTCTCAAATTTTGTATTTGTTGGGAATTGAAGTTTCATTCAAAAGGTAAAATAAGTAGATATTTATCGAGTAAGTTGATGTTTAAATGATGCGTATTTCACTGTTTCATTATTTAATGAAGTTAAGATGCAATATGGTCGGCTCTTATCAGGAGTGGTGTTATGTAGAATTATTCTTATATATCCCATAAGCTATTGACGTAGATTTTTCTTTGCACTTTTATAACAATTTCTCCATCAAAAGAAGTACCACATCGTCTTGACTCTTCTTAAGTGATAATCTATCCAACCCTTTCCTAAAACCAGGAAACACGCTCCATCATTGCTCAACTCTTGCACTGTGTAAGGGGCCATTGATATACACGGGTGGAACTGCCTTCAAATGTTTGACTGTCGGACTCGTTTGGCATGACTTTTGAGAAATACAAAAGTTGATTTTAAACCTCCTTGATTAATTTTATATATAAAGGCGTTTCTTCTAATTAGTCAATATGGCTTCCTTTAAAAGCTCCACCTCCTTCGAGATAGAGAGCTTTTCTAAAAATTTGTTTTTAAACGCTAATTGATGTAGATTTCTCGGAAAGCTCTTAAAAGAAATAAAATCAGAAGCCCTACCACATGAATACTTAATAAAATAGAAAAATGATTAAAATTTATGGTAGTGTTATTATACCCATTAAAATATATATTTAATATAAATCAATTATTTAGATAAATAAGTGGTCAGGCAATATGATTGGTCAATGATCATCTAGCAGAATAGTTAATTATTATTTTATCTATTTATTGGACGGTTGTTCAGAAAAAATAATTGTTTTACAGTGAAAATGGCGGAAGACAAATAATTAAAGAACTTAAGTGATTAATATTTTATAAACATATTATTAGAATGCTATTATAATTAATTTTCATGTTATTCATAGTCGCTCTATGCGACAGTCGTCCTACGTGGCACATACATGGCAAGTAGTTATTTGATGCATTAATGTGGTATTTTTTTACCACATTAATGCATCAAACACACACTTGACATGTGTGTACCACATAAGGCGACTGTTTCAGTGAGCGACTGCAAATAGCATTATTCTTTTCAGAACTATGTGCAAGAATCAAGTTGAAAGCACAACAGCTAATTTTAAGCATTAACCTTAAGTTCAATGTTCCGAAATTTGACCCAATGCATATTGATAGATGATTAAACTAGACAAAAGAGCGAGTTTGAATTGTTTAAAACTTTTATTTATCCAAAATAGAAGAAGAAAAATTCAATTTCAATAATATATAGACGAGCAATAATGTAAAGCTTTTAAATTTATGTTTTTGAATATATTATTTTCTCTCAAACATATTTTTAATTAATATTCATGTTTAGTAATAATCGAACGGTTGACCCAAGCATGCGTAGGTCGAATAGATGGCCTCATGGTCGAAGTCAATGGTTTAAGAATATAAACAAAATGTGAAATAGTTTTAGCCCCTGTTTGGCCCCCATTATTTTGCATTTTTTATGGTTAAAAATTTTTGGAATAGTGATTGATAGGAGAATGTGTGGTGGAAAAATAATGAAAAGTTTTAAATTTGTATGTAATATTATTTTATTTGGGGCTTGTTTGGTAATACTAAAAATCCAATTAAAATTGAAAATATAGCCGTTATCGGATCTCACCCGTCTAATAAAAGTCAACAATAACGGCTAGTTTTTCAATTTTAATCCGATTTTAATCTCTACCAAACACACTCTTGATGAATACGTAATTGTAATGAAGATAGAGAAATTTAATGTAATGTAATGTAATTTAATTTAATTTAATGAGGGCCAAACAGGGGCTTAGTGACCTTAACTTCAAAGTAATTGCTAAAAACATAAAATATTTGCATGCTTTATGTCTATTTAAAACATTGTTTTTTTTTTTTTTTGCCCTTTTTCGAGTTGAAACAAACAAAAGGTAGGTTTATAGTGCCTAAGTCGTAGATGCCTTTACAACCTTTTTTCTTATTAGTTCAAGAATCATAAAGTTTCCTCTCAATTGCATTTAGACAAAATTTGTCGAATGCACTGATTGCTTGTTGAAAAGAAATCGTACTGTCATTATTGATAAAATTGACAGAAACTATAGACATTATTATGTGTTCATTCATAAGGACTACATTGGCATACTACTCATTTTTTATAGACAAACTGAAGAAAATATATTCTCATATGTTTTTATTTTCCTTTTCATCATAAAATTGTCATCCTAACTGTTTAATTTTTTTTCCCTAAAACCCTTTTAGCATTGGATACGGGATACCAAAACCCATGTCCCACCTCTCTATTAGGGACTAGAGTCAATGCCTACAATAGGATACAAGGGAAGGGCCCATCTTCCTCATGCTGGCCCAATTAATTAAACTATTGTTTCTCATATTAGAAAAATACAAAGTATAATTGATTTACCAAACTCCACTTTGATACCCTACCCCAGTTGAAAGGAACAATATTGTATAAAGATTAAAAGAGAAAAAAATTTAAAACCATCTTATTCAATATTCTCACTTTTGAAACGGAACCCTTTAATTGAGTCTTCAATATGAATTGTATCAGCTAAAGACAGATTTGTTACCTATCGAATATTAGAATCCCTGACGATCACCGCGACTCGCTTTTCAGGCATGCAGGTACTAAGAATCCTTTCACTACCAACATCGTCTGTCTGTGTCTTGTTGAAACATATTTTGTCCAAATT